AATCACATGGGGTCTTCATTAAATATTTACTTAAGAGTAAACTAGTTTTTAATGAATATTATTATAGGAAAAAGAAAACACTAATCGAGTATTTTATAAAGGAACATAAAGTATTAATTAAAATTTAAAATGATGATTAAAACTTTGAAAATTCAGAAACTAACAAAAAAATTTCTAAAAAAGGATGAATCCAAATCTAACAGATTACCAAACAAAGGATGAATCTCCCACCGACGCTGAATACCCTTTTTGAAGAGATGAAGAACCGCCCAAGAAAGCCTCAGGCTTCAGTAATTGCTCAACTAAGACAAACATTCCACTGTAAAACAATGAACTACAGATTGATTTCCATTAAGATTATATAATATATAATTTTTTGAACATGACAGAAATAATAGCAAACTCAGCGACGTTTGTATAAACAAGGTTTTAGCTGCGGCCAATCGATGGCTTTCCCTGTTGAAATTTTCTCATCCTGTAGAACACAAAGCAAAATAATGATTAAACCCAGTGGTGGAGTATAAATGAGAGGCAGAACGTGAGGATTTACAGACCTTTTTCTTGAAGTATAACAAGATAAACATCTTGTTTGAGAAGTCCTGCACGTGATTGATACTTATAAATTAGCAGCAAGAAAGAACAGGATAATTAGCAACAGAAAGTAATATATACCTTCAAAGCTGAGACAAAACCTAGCTCACAAACAGCCTTTATGAACTTTTCGGGATCGGCTCCTCCATTGCTTGGGTCAAATCTGCTTTTGACTTCTGCTATTAGAAGCCATCCACTGCGCATAGAAACAGAAGGTTCAGCCGCCAAGTGAAAGACAATTTCACAAATAGAGGGCCAAAAAGTAGCCCACCAACCGTGGTTTAAGTACTCTTTGTGCTTCGGCCAAGTAACTTTCATAATTGATCCCCATAAGTGAAAGACAAAACACAGCAACATCCACAGATGAAGAGTCCAGAGGTGTCTGCCATGGGTCATAAACATTAGCCAGCGTTTAGAGGTTTCTTTCTTGAAGGAAACAGCCAATAAGTCTAATATAAATTTCATGGACAGAAAAATAAAAGTGATGGGTATGATGTAATGCTCCTATGGACATACATATATATATAGATATATATAGCAACAATGGTTGCTCAAATAACACGATTGGAAAGAAATGGCATATGTTTTAAAGCACCGTTATATCAATTATCCAACTAATCTCATCAAGTCCTCAAATTTCTTTTAATATAGATAGCTAATATCATTCTAAAACTGCACCTGTTGAGATGAAATAGATCATATAATCCAATCACTCCAAATCATAGCTGTATATAATATTGTTGACGTTTATGTACACCATACAAGTTATCATCTTCTTTACGTCCCCCTCCAATCACTAATAGCAATTTACCATGAGAGTCATGACTTAGTCTCCCAAGGTTGATTCTAACCAATGTGTGAGTTCCCACATCGATTGAAAAGAGGAACGAGTGCCAACAACGAGGACGCTGGGCCCCGAAGGGGGTGGATTGTGAGATCTCACCTCGGTTGGAGAGGGGAACTAAGCATTCTCTATAAAGGGTATGAAAACCTCTCCCTAGTAGACATGTTTTAAAAACCTTGAGGGGAAGCCCAAAAGGGAAACCCCAAAAGAACAATATCTGCTAGCAGTGGGCATGAGCAGTTACAAATGGTATTAGAACTAGACATCGGATGGTGTGCCAACGAGGACGCTGAGTCTCGAAGGGGGTGGATTGTGACATCCCACGTCGATTGGAGAGAGGAATGAGTGCTAGCAAGGACACTAGCCCCGAAGGGAGGTGAATTGTGAGATCGAGTGGGGAACGAGTGCTAGCAAGGAGGCTGAGCCCCAAAGGGCATCGGTTGGAGAGGGAACTAAGCATCCTTTATAAGGGTGTGAAAATCTCTCCCTAGCAGACGCGTTTTAAAACCTTGAGGAGAAGCCCGAAAAGGAAAGTTCAAAGAGGACAATATCTGCTAATGGTGAGCTTGGGCGGTTACACCATGTAAAAATAAAATAAATTTAGTACCATAGGAGTGTAGTTTTTTTTTTAAAACAACTTGCTAGTTGTTAAAAAGTAAAAAGTAACAACTGAGCTTTAGCAAAACCAATACAACTTTATAAGACAGCTGCACGATCTCCTGCAAGGGGAAAATGATACCAATGAGGCTAACTTTCATGCATGAAATGCAGTTATATGTCGAATGCATCTGATGACAATAAGTTCAAATAGAGTGCGCACATTTGACATATCACAAGCAACAACAGAAGGATCTTTGGAAACCAGATCAAACGAGAAAACTTTATTCTTCACATTTTTAGCAAGGCGTGCATCCCCTGTAATTCAGTTTGAAGGAAAGAAGAGATAAATGAACAAATAAGAATGAATGTTCTTAAAGGATCAAATACTTGATCAATATTTAGTAACGAAAGGCAAACAAAAGATTTTTTTCTAACACTCACCACAGCCAAAATCAGCTACCATAAATGAAGGATCGTGCTCTTTCAGCCATTTTATGATTAAATTCACAGGCAGCTCAGGCCAATGCGACATTTGCTCTTGGTATCCTGTATGATACTACCCATCAAAACGTTAATTAACCCTAGTCCTAGGCCTGGTACATGCAATTTACGTCTAAAACTTTCTCAAGGATCAGTGCATAGAAATTCCATATTCATGATTATATAGAAAGAGATAAACTTCTGCTGTGAACGTCGCGTGAAGAAACTAGTTCGTAAATAGTAATAGAAACTACGTTTAGAAAGCAAGAACAGACGGGCAGAACTTACAACATCAAACAGAACCTGGTCTTCTTTGAAATAACTAAGCGCCTCTTCCCCTCTGAAACACACACACACAAAAAAAAAAAAAAAAAAAAAAAAAAAAAAAAAAAAAAAAAAAAAAAAAAAAAAAAAAAAAAAAAAAAAAAAAAAAAAAAAAAA